CCGTAAAGTCCTTGTTTTTGTTCATAGAACATTCACTTAGCAACCAAAATAAACAAACCCCCTGAAGATGCGATGAAACCGGTCGGGGTAAAATAACTGCTGTTTTTTATTTCTCTTTGACACACACACACACACACACACACACACACACACACATAGCCAATCGAGTTTTACAGTACGTTGACATGCAGCGATGAAATAAAGACAATGTCCGTGCATATTTCGGAGTACGTGTGCAAGGCACTGAAAGTTACGATAGGGCCTGAGATGTATTTATTTACCGTGCGTTGTGTGGGAGTGCGGCGCATTGACCGAAGAACACCGCACGACGTTGAAACGCTGCCCGCGAAGAGCGAATAACAGTGTAGCATATTACATTTTATTTTCAAGTGTGTGAATATTTGTCCTGATTGTTATTCACAACTTTGTCAATAATGACACCAATTTTAGAGGACTTTTACAGATTTATCTCGGCTTAAAAAAGACTGTTTTACTAAAGTTTTGAATTAAATCAGCGCCGTGGCTCAGCGAATCGCCACAAATATGAAACATCTTTTACTCAAATATGAGTATATGAGTATTTTTCTGCATAATCACATAATTCCCTTTTTTAATTGGATCATGAAGGCACCAGAGGTTCTTCAAAATGCTTTATGTATTATTTACGATGAAGCCTGTAACAGTACAGTGTATTTACTTTCAATGTTGTTGAACGGTACCATATCCTAACCACACATGTACACTGTGTGTACTATGTAATATTATGTGCTATATCAATACGGATCACTATATGAATGAATAATTAATTAGTGCTCGGATGGTTGTCTCAGAGCCCCTAGTTTGGCTCCGCGTCTTGTTTATTTATGATGTCAAAAGTGAAAATTCAAATAAATCACATTGCGTACGATATACCTTAGTCTTTAGGTAAGCGATATTTCATATTTGTGGCAATTCGCTAGCCCACGGCGACCATTTAAACTACTGAAATATATGACAGCAGGGGACGTCGTGGTATGCAAATAAAAATACTTGAATGAAACATTCATAGATTCTATGCAAAAGAAGACTTCAATAAAATTATCGCGACAAGGCAAGCTGGATCATTTCCATATGAATGTACGTTTTGGTATACGTTGCCGTAAAACCAGGGTTCTTTACTCGACGAAGTAAACCGGTTCATTTTGTGCTGCTTGAGGTGCCGGTAGATAAAATATATCCCCAGCTGAGAACATATTGTGCATATTAGATTCCCAGAACTGGTGTGGAGCACCACGGTGTGGAGGGGCACGGACGGAGGGAGTTCTTTTTTCGTATTTACGAATATATAGCACAGGAGAGCGATGTGTAGAAAAAAATCTGCACTAATCACGGGTCTTCTAGTGGCATTTGGTGGACTTCTTCTGGGAGCTGTACTCATCTTTCAACGTAAGTACGGACTGATTACACAAAAATATACCAAAATAGTATTGGTTGTTTGTAAAAATTCTAATTAAAAACGACGTATTTTAAGGGCAAGAAAGCCTTTGAATATATCGTAAGCATTACCCCCTTTCATACATTTATTTAATTGCTTTTCATCTTACCTTGGAGCATCTCCCTTGGATAATTCGCCCAAGAAATTCAAAGATTGATAATGAAAATACCCCTTTTTGTACCACATTGTAAGTTCCCTGAATTTTAAGTAAACTTTTATTGTAGAGTGTTTCAATATGACCCGATTGCAAAACATGGCAAGGTTTATACAGGTACAAGTAGTTTTAGCGAAAGACAGCTCCAAACGTATGTGGTCTATACTGGTGTAACAGCAATGGTAGTCATTTAGGAACCGTAGCCCGCACCCCGTTTCTTTGTACAGGTGACATTCGTCCCATATACTAACCCCTATACTCCGACTAACCCTATCCTGAACTAACTGTGATGCTTATATGAAACTACGTTATGGTAACGGTATAATACGTTGTGTTTGTGCTGGTTAGCTGATGGAAGTTCATTATATGTTTAACGTTGACTTATTGAATGTAAAACTATCACACAGGCCAGTTATTTGGTGACTGAACCATCATTTGAACAATTTTCAAACGACAATCTTATATGCGTTTGCGCAATGTTCGTTTTCCTGTCGTTCATAAATAATTCATGTTTAGCACTATTTTTAAAGAAAATATTGGATTATTCGAAAACGGATGTTGAAGTAACTGTTATGCTGAAAGTCCAATAAATGAAATAAAAACGCATAAAAACTCTTTTTTTCTGCTTTTACCTGTATATATGTATCGAGTCCAGGTTTTCAACACAAAACAGCAACGGCAGAAGCCGTGTGGACAGGCACGTCCGGATGAGTAGTAACTTGGAAGCTATACTAACCATGAAGGATGCATATATTTCAGTCAAGACCATGAGTAGCTCCCTTACTACCTTACGCAATGGTGAGTTTGACCACTTTTTTCATACGATTTTTACTATTTACCCATGCTTTCCCCCAGTCCAATAATTTTTTGTCAACTCACCCATAAACTCCACGGAACCACACACACATACACACACACACACGAAATTATTATTATGATTAGTATTATAATCATTATTATAATTATCTTGTGCTTCTCCCATACTTGAGCCGATGGAAAGAAACTCAGTGTTTTTTGAGAACACACCATATACATAATAAATAAGGGAGAGATGAGGGGTAGCCGTAGATACCTCCAACACCCTTTCCCAACCACGTAAATCATTAGCAGTTCAGGAAGTGGGGGGGGGGGGGCTTTTTAAATATATGTCCATTTTTTAAATATATGTCAATTAGCCATTAGATATTTACGGCACTAGTGCGTCAACATAAGCACAATTCTAACATAAATCGCAACAAGCACAATCTGTCATGTGTCACACTGGAAAAAATTCCATTCTAAATATCTGTGGTCAAACGCATACAAGTATATCGTAATGGGATAGTGATGTAGTTCAAACAATTATATGACAGTCGAGATAGAGTTTTACAGTTGACATGCAACAATAAAAACGATATCCGAGTGTGATTCAGAATTCGGTGCCAAGCACTTCATGTAAGTAGATTGCCTTATATGTGGTGTATTAAAATACAAACGTGCGTTGTGTGGGGGTGCGTATGAATACATGAGTGGCAGCGCATGGACCGAAGAACACATGATGTTGAAATGCTGCCCGCAAAGAGCGAGTAACAGTGCGGCATATTATTTTTTTTAATTTCCAAGTGTTAATGGCATGTTTCCCCCTCTCCCCCCCCCCCTTTTTTTTTTGAAAATATTTGGTAATGAACATTAAATCCAAACATTATTCTCATTCGACTGTAAATATTGCAGCCTTTTCTTTTGTTACATTGTTTTCTAAACTGGACCAGAATAATTACTCCAAATGATCGCAAGGCCCGGGGCAATACTTTCAACAGGGCCAGGCGTCACAACAAAAAAACTGGTAGTCATGGGTCTATTTCTTGGACTGAAAACGCTATCTACTTATATTCATGATGCCACAATGAGTAAATCAGGAGAGATCAGAGATAGATAATAATTCGAGGGGGGGGGGGTACCAGATTGGTAAAGGGTCTCAGACTGTTTTTAATTTTATTAGATGTTCACAGATGTGTTCACAGATTTTCTGGTTAATCCATGACACAATTACCTGCTGTTGAAACGTGTTCAATGTACGGTCCTGGTACATATAAAGGAGGGGTGTCAGGCATTTTTACTCTTAAGTCATTGAAAACTCCCCTTTACCGTCAGCATTCTATTGTATTTCTTTGCATACAGTGACATGGCAGGAACTACCAACTGAAGTGCTTTACGCTTGTCTACCTGCTTCTGAATCTTTAATTGACGACAAGCGTTTATGCACAGGTAGACCGAGTTTAGCAGTCCGCTCCATGTGCTGTTAAATGATTAACAGTGGCAACTGCTCATCACTGTCATCATACTGTATATTTCATTTTGTGCCATGTGGTAATTAATTGAGAGAGACATGACAAGACTGGCAATCGTTTTGAAGGTATGGCAAAGGCAGGCAATAACAGGTAATAATGATAACCCGCATGTGTAAGAACTTCAGACAGATCTCTTCATATCACATACGTACATACCTGAACCAACGCTGAGCCTGACCGAAAACAACAAGTCCTTTTCTTCTGATCAAATCAGCCAAATAAGAGCAACAAAGAGAAACTCATATATTTTCAAATTAGACTTTTATTATTTTTTAAATGTATTTTTCTGTTCCTTGTCCCATAAACCAATGAGGTGCGTGTTCTCCTGGTTCCTGGTTCCGGAGATCGACTAGACAAGGCCTATCACTTCTGTCACCACTTGTCTCAAGGACCAGATGGCCATCGATACGTAGGGTTCCTACTTGTTTATTAGTCTAACCCCAGTTGCACAAATAAATAAATAAATAAATAAATAAATAAATAAATAATACATAAAAAAACTGTTCCCTGGCTAAGAACTTTATTGCCAACGTTACATGGTCACATGCGCACATCTTCCCCTATCTGGAACAGTGTTACAGAGCTGTCATGGAAATCCTATAATCAACTAAGCCTAAGAACCGAATTCAGTTCGGAGACCAGTTTGGTTCCGAGCTAATAAAAGAAAACGTGTATTCACCCTATATATACAGACCTTCGTACATGCCTAGTTGGTATCTATACCAATAACATTTGATTGAAGACCTCCGAGCTTTTGGCTCATGCCCCTTTTTCAGGGACTTTGTATATGCCAGTTGGACACAATTTGGTTTACTTGAAATATCTACACGATGATTATGACAAATCCTTTATTACATGGAATATGTAATATGCCATTAATAATTTTTCTCCTGATTGTTTTTCTTTTTTTGTTCCTTGGTTGCTTAATGACTCGAAGATTCTAATTCTTAATGGTAAAGTATCTTATATTCAGGGCGGGGTACTGGTCTTGTAATCATATGTTTGATGCAAGATTGAATAAGATATGAACTGATACCAGCATCCTGTCAACCTGTTCTTCAGTACTTGGTTAAACTACTGGGTGCAGACTTCGGTGTTCTTTTAATTCTACTGCGAGAAATCGAACGAAGCGGACTGCTACACAATCTTGTAAGTGAAATTTTCTGGACTGTTTGTCTTTTTTTAACTATTAATCTGTTTTTACTGATTTCTCTCTCTCTCTCTCTCTCTCTCTCTCTCTCTCTCTCTCTCTCTCACACACACACACACACACACACAGACACACAAAGACACATTTACAAGCGTATCTTTGTACACAAAAGAAACCAATATGTTTATGATTGAAATGGATTACTTATCACGAAAATGTTACAATATTTTAGTCGATACCTGAACCACCAGATCAATCACGAACCCTTTTCATACGTCTAAATAATTTGCTGGAAGATTCATCATAATCATCGTATTGATTTGGTAAAAAAATTAATAGATTAAGCTGTTTCTTACCCAGGTTTTTAAAAATTCTCTTTTAAAAATGTTAGCTGTCTTTAGAGATGCGATTTTAGCTTAATATATCAGTGGATTGCTAGGGTAGAAACAATTACAAGAAACGGTTTATTGGCTTTTAAGAAGCAAAAATATGTATTCCAGCATAATATCATTGGACAGGGTCTTTCTCGAGAATAAAAAAGGGGACATAAGATATAGAATGCTCATTTTCACACTTTTTTTAACGAAAGGCTTCGTTTGTTTGATAGTTTATTTATCCTTAAATGAGAATGTGTCGGGTAATTGATCATTATTTCATAACCAAGTCTCCTCTCTCTAGAGTTCTGATATATATATATATATATATATACCGCGTATATATATATATATACCTGTATATATATATATATATATATATGGGAAATTCTTCATCTACTACCACTATCATTATTATTATTATTATAATGAAAAGGAAAAAGACAAATAATAAACTTAAACCATATCCTGTTTTTAATTAAAAATGTGGGACATTATGCCAAAAGTTCTAAAATTAAAGGGATAATAACACTTCGTACGAGATCTATATTTCACAATAAAAACATTGTGAATAACTCATAAAAATATAACATATTCTGTTTTACCACAAAAACGGCAGTTATAGCCATTATTCTGATATCTTAGCTTGTCTTTAGTCCACGTGACCTCCATTGATGGCTATACTCTGTTAAAATCTCTTAAGAGATTTTAGCAAAAAACCAAACATTTTAGAAAAAAAAACAGGGACTAACTTTGAATGTAAACATGGATTCATTAACCATTAGTAAGTATGGGAAAATTGTTGTTTACTCCAGGAAAATTCATTTTTGGCCGAAACGAAGAGTTATTATCCCTTTAAACGGATGATGAAAAGATATTTGTCTGTTGCAATTAGCATAAAGATTGAAAAGTGAAATGAATCAAGTGATGAGCAAATAGAGAAATCGATAAACAAAAAAATGATAAATTGATATTTATGGATGGTTTTTCAAACCCTTAATCATTGGTTGTTGTTGAATAACGTTCTATAGTATTGATACCTAGGAATACATTTGCAACCAGGCTGACAGACACAGGCTGACAGACGCAGGGTGACAGGTGTTGAGAGGAGGTGCTGTCACTAGGCGTCCGTCAAACTTTTCATTGCTAGTTATAAATTAATTGCGTTTCAGCAGACAAAATTCTATTTGAAAGATGAAGGAAATTCCGATTCTGCGGGTGATGATCATCGGTCTATGTATGTGGAAGGCGACAGCCGGTAAGCTACTGTTTTAAGGACTGGAACGTTTCTTTTTTTGTTTTTGTTTTGTTTTTTCAAAATTACCAGATTAGTGCCAGAAACCTTTTCGTAAGGTTAAGTTGTGATTCAGGGAAAAAAAGGGAAAAAATTTAAAAGTCTATCAGCACGTTTAAAATATCGTTTTATAGGGCTTTTATATAGCCACATATATCAAGAATATATTGTGTTGAAAGTTGTTAAATATGCTGTAAATAGACACTTTACTTAACGCATGTTCATGTCCAAGCTTAGAAAATGTGTATGTATTATTTCTGTGCTCTTCAGTACATACCTTGATGACCGTACTCCAACTGAAAATATAAAATAACGCATTTTAATTTGAAATCAGGACATGTGGTTAAATACCCTTGAATAAGCATTTATTTGAACCATCAGCGCTATATCCTTTTCATTCAGATATTGATGATGTATATTCATTACTCCTTTTCCTCTACCCAGATATCACCACCAGGTCCGTCATGGTACCAGTGGACTCGACGGTATTGCTTGATGAGCATAATAGATATAGGAATAACGTCGATCCACCTGCCAACGGCTTGAAGTCGATGGTACTGTTACAGATTGCTACTTTGTGTCAATTTTAGTGCCATTATTGCAATTTTGTGTCAATTTTATTTTCCATTTTGTGTCGATTTTATCGCCACTTTTGTCATTTTGTATCAATTTTATGGCCATTTTAGTTTCGATTTTATTGAAATCTTTGGAACCAATTTATTGCCATATTGGTATTGTTTTTATTGTCATATTGTATCTAGCACTCTGAGCTTCAGGTTAATTTCGGCTTAGTTTTCATTTTCAAACTTTTATTTGTGAATTGTAGGACCCTGACCATTAGTGACAAATTTTATTCGGGTTTTATGCACTAAACATAAGCTATCATATACATGATCATCCGGGCTTTGTTGTTCCGTAGAAAGCGTAGGTGACTGACGTATGTAAAGACTCTTCCACTTTTCTTCCACCGACCCAACACTTCTGGCACACGGCAGCAATTTGAAAAACGAATACCTTGGTCCGCGTCAGATCTGAAACTCGGGAATAAATTGATCCCTTTCCTTTTTCAACAAGGCTTGGCCCAAGTTGGGTCAGTAAAACTGAGTTGAAGTATACAGTGTTACCAATGTAGATACAAAAGGCTTGGGTGGCACTTGCTTTATAGCACGAACGTACGGATCAAGGCGGTGGGCACATTGTGAGGCACATACACAGCATTAGCCGAGGACAATTTTTAGGGTATATACATTAAAAAAAAAATGAATAAAATAAATATGATATGCCCTACTAAAAGATACCCCAGTGCCATATATTTTACAAGGTTGATAGTTACCTCTTTAATAATGTAAGTTGTATACATATACAAATAACATCAGGATTATTACATGCACCTTCAAAAAAACTCCGTGGTAAAACAACAAAAAATAAATTAGTAATACCAACTTTGTATGTCATTTCAAAGATTTGGAATACAACTCTTGCTGCAGCAGCACGGAATTGGGCTTCCAATTGC